GGGGTACGGTCTTGGAGGACAGTGTCCTTCGTGTCCGGTTTGGTCCGTTGGGACTCCGGGGTTATCAATACGCTGTGCCTCGGTGACGAGGCTCCCGTGCTCAATTCGGGGGTGGACGGTGCCGTCGAGAAGTCGTCATCCTCTCTCGGGCTGACTACCCTGGCCAGAGCACCCGAGAGCTCCGACTGGGCAACTTCCTCGGAAGCCGGGCTGAGCAAGTACTCCCGAGCGTCGGTAAACTCGGGAGAGTCCATTCTACCCTGTTTCTTTTGGCGAAGAGCTGCTGGTGCGTTTTTGTTCTCCGTGCATGGTGCTTCAGGTTGTTGGACAGTGAGGCTGATGCCCAACCCTGAAGTTGAGGGTGTCTCTACAGGGACAGTCCCTGTCACAGCAACTCTAGAGCTCGCCTCCTCTCCAGACGTCATCGAACCCTCAGAACGGCCCTGCAGATGTCCGCTTCTAGCTTTCTTGTCATTCTGGCCATGGGGACCGCCCTCTGCAATCTGCTCTTCAACGAGAGTCGAGGTGTTGCTGGTGCGAAAGGTAGAAGAGCGGCTCCGTCTAAACAACGAGAATGACCGCGTTGATTTTACCTCTGCTGCAGCTAGCAAGGGCCCTCGGGCTTCAGGCACAGGCACAGGTGACTCCGTCCCATGTGGCTCTGATATCTCTTCGCTGATCACAGAACCGGACTTACTATCATGCGAAAACAAATCACGAGCTGCCTTCTTGAGATAATCGATTGACCTCACGGATTCTGTAGATCGACGAGACAGCGAGAACAGCCGCCGAGCGCGCGGCTTCGGTGAACTTTGCAAGACCCCCAGGGCGGGCCGCTTTGCTGGTGAGGATTTTACTGACGATGGCGAAGGTCTTGGGGAGGGCTCATCAAACACGGCTTGCTCTGGCTGCAGCGGCGTGACGGGCGTGATGGGCCGAGCAGCAACCGGAGCCCACGTCATATCTACACCCCTGGGCTTAGGCGGTAAGGCTTTGCCTTCATCAAGCCTTAGGGGGCGTATCACCAAACACGGCATGTTCAGGATGCAATGGCGTGACGGGCGTGATGGGCCGAGTGGCAAAATAGTCGTCTTCATACTCGGGGATGTCGTCGATGGCACACGAATCCTCGAATATCTTATCCATATCCTTCTGGACCTGGGCTTTCAGCCTCTCGACAAAGGCTGCCTGCGCGTCCTCGCGCGAGGCAAAGGTTTCTTTCGCGCTCCCGTGTTTCTCGTGCGCAACGATAGCCTTGTCCAAGACAAGGTGTCCTCGCTTATGGGCGTTGACGTGGATGGCAATGTTGTGGCCGCGGATGACATCCCCGATGCCAGTCTGGATGCGATCCAGCGCTGCTTGGATGGTCCGGCGGCCGTACGACGCGGAGGGGCCGAGAGTGAACTTGGCGGCCTCTCGCACGGTCCAGCCTACGCCCTTGAGTTCGGCGATGCGGATCTCGAAATCGTTCATGCCGCTCAGCAATGCATCAGCCTCGTCCCGAATGTGCGACAGATATTCCTCGATCCCAGAGAAGAAGGCGCCACAGTCTTGAGCGTCCAGGTCCCGAAAGAGTGCGAGTGTGCTCTTGATGCTTCTCTGCACATGGTTGTATGCAGGTCCGAGGTGATTCTGCACTCTAAGACTAAGCTCAAACGTGTCATCCCCGAGATGAGTGGAGTAGAGTTCTCTGTGGTCTCGGAGATGATGGTCAAACTGCCGCTTTTTCGAGTCCAGTGCCTGGTTAGCAAACTGCAACGCTTTCCACAGCATGTCCTCGCTGAGAAACAGAGTCAACGGCGTGGTTTGTGTGCTGGAAACTCTTGCCCTCTTCTCGAACGTGGGGACGCGTCGGTGCGGATTCCTACTTCGAAAATAGATTTCGATGCTGTATCCAGACACGAACTCGAAGGCCTGGGAGGTTTCGACGAAGCGGGATCTAGGTATGGACAAGGTTGAAAGGGGACCATCACGGGAAGGCACTGCAGTCTCGCTTCCTTCTGAATCAAGCTCTGGGGCCGGGCAGTCGAGCCACCGGAAGTTTCGGTCGTGGCGGCGCATGAAGAGCCCAATCATCCAGTGAACGGACAGCATGACCTCCTTCGTGTGCGCAATGGTTAGGGGCTGTTTTTCGTAAGACCGGTACGTTCGCTCAGCCCACTCGCCCATCCCTCTCCTCATGACGCGGAAGGTCATCTCGAATCGCTGCGGCTTGCGTTCATAGGTGTCGTTCTTGAACATCTCCAAGGCACCCGAGTCTTTCCGGGTGATAAATCCCTCGGAGCAGCGCTCAATGCGGCGCACAAGGCCGCGGCATATCCTGTTTGTGGCTTCGAAGTCTGTGGAGCTGGTGTATCTGCGGCAGTACCTAGACCGGATGGCGGGGTCCATGAAGCGGATGTCGACGTGCACCACCAGGGCCGGTATCGTGGACGACCCCTAACTGCTCCTCGAAGACGGGAGACAGCAACGCCCTCTCTCGTTCCATCTCGTTGTGTTTCTCGGGGGTTGTGAGCTCCAACCGAGGGAAGGTATCGCCCCATGATGAGCTGGGTTCTCGACGATGGCGAAGCATCAAGGATGCTATGCTCTGATTCCCACCAAACCATCTTTGCTCGACTGTCGACTGTCGACAGTGTCCTGTCGTGTGTGACTGTATAAGACGCAGATGCGTGTGCTCCACTACTTGACCAGGTTTCTGTGGGGTAGAGGGGTTTTCGATGAGGCAATCGGCGCAGTGGAACAATTATCGTAGCACAGGGGCATCAAGATGCTAGGTCGGAAACCATGTCCTCGGGTGGCAGGGGAAGGGACAGACAGGCAAAAGCCAATTGATATGATGGATGGGGAGTGTGAGATGGAAAATGAGGAATGGGAAAAGTGAGTTTGTCAATTGATTGCCTGCCAGGTCAAAGAAAGCTTTTCGCAGTCAGATCTTACCCCTCCATCAAGGATATAAACAGAATGGGTGTTAGACGATCCGCCGTGCATACGGTGCAACGTGGGCGGGCAGCAGAAGAAACCAGCCCTCGGGCGCGGCGCAGGGCTGGTTGTACCCAAGGGGCCCTGGACAACAAAGATATGGCGTGCATAGCAGCCGCCTTAGCCCAGGTTACCTCCCCTCCCACCAGGCCCATCCTCGGCCGATTGGGAAGGGAAAGTGAGGCCTCATGGTGATAGGCTGGCTGGCGCTGCCAGTCTGGTCTGACACGTATTCCACGGGAAGAGCGACGGCCTGTGATTGTTGGTTACAATGGCGACTTCCAATTTCTCATCGTCTGGCAAGTCTGGATCGGTCCAATGGCTTACTCCCGGGACGGGAATCCCACCCGGGAATGGACTGAGGGAATTGCGGGATGAGGCAGCCACTCAAGCGCTGGTAAACACCAACCAGGTGACAGGTGTTGCCAACCTGGTGTGAAACAACACGGCCAGCGGGCAACCAGCGCCGCCTGCTGTGTCCAAACGCGTATCGCCGGGTCTCTTGGCCAGCTGCCCAGCTGTGCCAGCTTTTAGCCACCTCGCCGCTTTGAACTGGCCGGGTTAGCTCGGTAAGTCGACCTGGCTCGGCGCATTTGTGAGATTGAGGTTCGGCACAAGTTGTTCGAATTGGGTTTTTCACCATCGGCCTCCGCCCCACTGCACCACCTTCTGCACCTTCTGCAAGCGCCTACCATCGCGGCGAACGCACAGGATCGGAGCAGCGGGAAAAGAACCGAGGATGGTCCCAAATGTTCCCAAATGGCCCAATAGCGGCCCTGCCAGTGCCTGCGAGCCCTTAATCGCGCTGGATCGGCAATCTTTCAGCCTTTCACGATCCGTGTGGCTTGCAGGAGATTGGTAAAAAACCGGCATGGGAGTGGGGCCCAACCAGCCTTGGAAGACATGGCTGTGGGCCTGGCTAGAGCAAGCAGGGAAGGCATGGAAGCTCGGAAGGTGGGAAGGGAGCCGGCAGGCTGGTGACTGGCATGTGGAGATGAGGGAGTGAGGGACTCTACCCCTCAACTTCGGAGGGGTTGGTTGGGATTTGCACTTCATGTTAGTCTTGCTTCAAAAAAGGTCGATAAACCGGAATGGCCGATTCCGTCCCTGAGGCTGGGAGATCAACACTTCGGAATGTTAAATCTTTAGGAATACAAAGAATTACCGAAATACCAGAACGGGAAGCAAAAGGACGGCAAACAATGTCTAGTTCCATTGTTATTGTCGGTAGTTATGTGTAGTTACGAAGTACCCTACTCAGGTCAGCTTCACTCATCAACCACGAACCCCGAACCAAGCACCCAACCAACCCAACCCAACCCCCCCCTTTCTTGCTTCTAACAGAGACTACTTCGTAGATTCCCTCACTTTTCTTTACTCGCCAATGGTTCATGTCAGGACATTGGTAGGGTTGCATACACGACCCTTGTTCTTTTCCTAACCCGGAGCTGCCGTGCAACTGACGCCCCGTCCTTGCCATCCATATCTGTCCATCAACGAAGGCGCATCTTAGCTTCGCAGCGCCCACCATGTCAACAGCTCCCAAATTTCCCGGTATCTTAACCGTTACACTGCACGAAGCTGAAGGTCTTTCTGCCGCGGGCCAGTACCGTGAACTCTTCAGCGGCGACTCGGATGGGCCCAACCAGCCTTCTTCTCGCCTCCGGTACCATCTCCCGTATGCCTTGCTAGATTATGAGAGGTTGCAAGTCTCTGTTGACTCGCTGTTGGGGACCGCTGAAAGTCCCCAGTGGCTGGCTCAATGTGGTGCTACCTGCAAGTTCGATATCTCGAGGACCGCTGAGTTGGCTATTCAGTTGTACCTCAAGGACCCGAAGGCGTCGAAGGGGAGCCAGGACGTATTCCTTGGTGTAGCAAGATTAAACCCCTTCAATGGATCGATAGTATCAGGCCCGCAGTGGATGGCTTTGCAAGGCGGCACTGGCAAGATTCTCGTCAGTCTGGAATACGCACATGTCGAGAACCAGATGTTAGATATCGACACGTCTGATTATGCGTGGCTCGGCCCATCCGGAGTCGTGCAAGTCAAGAAAAAGGATACCCGACAGCGGTATGCAAGGAAGACGATTATGGAGCCCAACTTGGTTTCCTGTCTGAGGCGGCAGCCCAAATCAGCCATCCTTTGTCGCCTCCCTCACATTCGCACACCAATCAACAGGTCTCGAGTATACACACATTGTAGTGGGGGCATCTTTTCAGTCACCTCCATGGGCCACATCGTTTTGACGTCGAGAGGGCCAGACTCTATGCCGCCGAGATGGTTTGCGCGCTGGAGTACCTGCACAACGTCAACATTATCGGCTGGCTAAAAGCCGGAAATGTTTTGCTGGACTCGCTGGGACATGTCACTCTATGCGGTTTCGGTCTTTTCACACGACACATGGAGGGCGGGGAGCCAGTCACCCATAAGAGACCCGAGTATCCAGCTCCGGAATCACTTGTTGACCACGAAAACACGCCCAGGGCCGCCGATTGGTGGACACTGGGTGTCTTCTTGTATGAAATGCTGACAGGACTACCGCCGTTCTACGATAATGACGTCGAAAAGATCCGGCTCAACATCCTAAACCAGCCTCTCGAGTTCCCCAACTCACTCCCCTCATCCGCCACGGATGTCCTACACAAGCTCCTTAACCGGGATCCCAGACAACGATTAGGGGCAGGCGGTGCCGCGGAGGTCAAGGGCCATCTTTTCTTCGAGGATATCGACTGGAGCAAGCTCATGCAGCGGGGCTACCAGCCTGTGTTCAAGCCCGGCTATTCCGCCAGTTCCTTCCAGCACCACGGCGTCGACTATCCCCCTGAACGATGGCTATCCCTAGAAGAACGATTAAAACAATTCGCCGGCTTCACCTACAACCGACCCTCAGGCCAACCTAAACCCAAACCCAAACCCAAACCCACCAACACCCCCTCTCCCAGACCTTCCCAACCCACCATCATCAAACCCGACCATCCACTCCCATCACCAACCACCTCACCCCCGTCCCAACCCCCGACCCTTCCCCCCTTAACCCCCACCCAAACCCTCACCCAAGCCATAACCCACCGCAACCACGCCCTCCTCACCACCCTCCTCACCCAAGGCCACCACCACCCTCCCAACCTCCCCCCCTCCTCCGACCCCCAGCAAACCGAAAAACTGAAATTATGAGAGGAGTGTCTAATTAGTATTGATGCCGGGGAGACCCAGGGCGAGTAGAGAGGGTATGCTAGATGATGAAAGTTCGTGGAGACTGCCGCTAG